TCCCATATGAGTTTTCTCCCTGCCTGCAATAAGCTGTCAGATATAAAACCATCTCCTCAGTTCAAACCTTTCCAAGTACTAGCTCCACTGAGTGATGTTCATTTCCTGTCTTCTTAAGCAGAGTAGCCAGCCCTTCTCCTCAGTCTTGCGTGAATGAAGGAGTCCATGAGGACAAGGGCTGGGCTGTGGAGCTTCCTCTTCTGGTGGGAGCACAGAGGTGAAGATGCAGAGCAAAAAAAGGAATGTGCCCTGTTAGCCTCTGCAAAGACTTGATTTCAAAAGGAGCAGGATTGGGCCTATGCACGGGTCAAGATCTGCTGCACTGCCTTTTCTCGGGTGTGCCTTTTGGACCATGTGTGTGCTGTGACACACTGCTGGTGTCATTATCAGTCCCCAGGCAGACACCAATGTGCAGTGCAGCCTGTTAATACAGGTTACTGAAATTCCAGATATTTTGACTGCTACAGAAGGTGATCACTTCAAGTAGCATGAGCACAGGGAGAAAAAAACAAGGGGGAACTTGAAGGTCATTTTCCTCTCTATGCTGGCACGATGATTTTCCTGATGTGGCCCCTTACCTCGCGTGTGACATTTGTGGCTAAGGTGTTGTCATATTTCTGGTATGCTAACGTAACATTTGACTGCCTTCCTCTGCATTCTTGTAATTAACTCCTAATATTAAAGCAGTTTCCATCTCTGGATTCCTCAGCAAGCTGATTGAAAGGCGATTTAATTGCACAGCATTGCCAAGAAACATGTTAGGTGATTGCTGGCTGTAGTAACAAGTAATGTGAAGGTAATAGCAGGTATCACAGGGACTAAGATTTTGCTGGCCATTAGCAGAGGTGACTTCAAAAAGCAGATGATAATTAGTATAGATTTCACTGAACCAAGTTTCCATCTGTTGCTAGTCACTGGATTTTGAGCTGCTCTCCTATTAAAGATTAGCATGTATGTTCCTGGATTCTCGATAGAAAGGACACTTAGGAAAAAAGGGTATAAATCAACAAATAACTGTGTAACCTGCAAAAATATAAATCTATGTTGATTAATCTGTGTTTCCTAAATTGCATACTAGATTGCAATTCAATCAAAGGGTAGGGGTCGTGTGACGTTTATGAACATTTATGGATGGTATAAGCACTCAGATTAAATGTCAAACCTGGTATTCAGTTTAGAATCATGTATTATTGTTATTCATTAATATATAAAAACAACAATTATATCCACTAAAATCCTCAATTTAATTTTGCTGCAATCTGTCTCTGCTGTGTCAGAGATGCAGTGCAGTGTCTTTGCCCCCTCAGATAATTTAAAGGGCTCCACTGAATTTCAGCCCAGTCTGTGCTTTTACCCTAGCATGGCACTGCCTCCATTTGGGCCCCTCTCAACTGAGGAATTCTCTAGTGAATTATTTTCTTTATCTTCCACCTTGATTAAATTTTAGTTTTCATGCTGAACAGGTGTAGTGCACCCAGAAAGGGAGGAGAGTCAAAACTCTTGATCTTAGATCCAGTTTACTGAGTATATTACACATGATAAAGCTGTACCCCTCACTGGCTCTGTATCAGTAAAGGTTGAAAATGCTTTGAAGCAAAACAGTCATCTTAGGATTATCTAAATTTGTTGTCAGACCTTCAAGTCTGCTTCTTCCCATTCTGGGGCTAAAGGGCTAACATTGCTCACCTTGGTGTGCTGCATTGCATCAGAGAGATCCTAAATCACTTTGCAAAAATGGAGCAGAATCACTGTCCCAATTTACTGCTAAGGCAGCACTTGAAGCAGGTTAACTCAAGCCACTTAGTGAATAAAGTGTAAGAAGCAGCTGAATGCCAATTGCAGAAATTACTTTGGCACCTAAGATGTTAGTGTTGCTGAAAGGAAGCAATGCTTAAGCTAACAAAGGCAATATATTTCATCACAGTTTACAGCCAAAATTTTGCTGACTTTCAATGAACTTCAACATGAATGCCTCAGTCACTTTTGAAAATTGTAGTTAGCATCATAAATCTATTATCTGTTTATATAATGTCACTCATACCACTGGTTTTCACCATCTTAACTTCCCATAAATAGAAGTTCTTTGGTGTCTAGGAACCTTATTCTCATTAAACTCGGGGGGACTAGATTCCTAAATAGCCTTAACATGTAGACTTTGCTTGTCTCTTAGTGTTTGTGATTTAAATGGAATTTATTCATGTAGCAAAGAAAGAGAAAAGGAGAAGAATCTGACCACAGTGAAGCAAAGACAGGTTTAAGATTAGCCCTTGGCTATTCTGTTCAATGGCCAAAGCATCTTCCAAGTAATCATGATTAATTAACACTAGGAATTCAACATTAAAAAAAGATCAGTGGATTCCATTTGTCCATTCAAACAGTCAGAGCTATAGCAGATTGAAAACAAGCGACATAAATAGACAGGTAAATATTCTGTTTATAACATAGAGAGATGGGGAAAATGGTCAGCTTTCTTCAATTTCATTTTCTTATGTTATTATATATTAATATGTCTTGAAGAAATCTACTGTGTTAATCTAATGTAATTAGGTTAAATGTCTCTAGTGACCAACAGTACCATATGATAAGAAGTTTCACCCCAGCATTTTAATGGTTCAGGTTCTGCTCATGGTTTCAATTAAGTCAGCATAATTGCACAAGGCAGTGAGAAAAGGATTTGGCCCATTTCTCTCCCGCATATGTGTTCTGCAGTTATCTAACCTGGAATGAATCACAGACACATCTTGTTTTTCCAGTACTTTACAGGGAAAATTTTGTTTTCATGTATTTTCTTTTGAACAAAACTGATAATCAAGTGTCCAGACCGGTTGCAATAATTTTTAAAATACAGTGTTTCAGTTCTGGTGATTTTGTGGATTCTGGTATGAAGCTTACTAGCGTATTGTGCCTGTCTGTAATTACCCTTTAGTTTTAATTAGACAGGACAATCTTGTTCATTTCTTAGAGCAAACTCGTTGGTAATGTTTGTGTAAGTCATTACTCAGCACCATAATCTCAGGCCATAATTTGTAGAATTCTTTGGCATCCATGTTGTCAAAATTGCTTGATGATTTCCCTTAAGAGACCTTGTTTTATGTTGCTCATAACAGAGCCAAACTCTAACCTCAGCCTAAAATTTTCCATTCTGTGTTTTCCCCCATACTTGATGCCTTCTGCTTTTTTTTTTTTTTTTTTTTAACTCTGGGACTCCAAGGCACATTTTTTTGGCTCCAACCTCATGGTTCTTCCCTGGTTTGTAGCTCGCTGTCCCATTTGCCCAAAACTCTGAAAGAAATACTACCAACTACCAGCTCCTAAGAGTGCTTCACTATCATCTATTACAGATGAATCCATAGACTTCCATGGTTAAGTCTTCAGGAGAAATTTAAGAGGAAAATAAGGGGTACGTGCTTAGGAAAGGAGATTTTTCTCCACCAGGAAAACTTCCGTCTTACAGTTCATTAGAATAATGGATTCTTGAAAGCAAGATAGTGACCTTCTCTTCACCAGCTTGATCTTGCTCGTCCTTTGATTTTATGTCATTTCAGCTTTTTATTCTGCACAGAATCCATCCTGTCTTCTGTCTCATGCAAATCTTCCTTACATGTGGAAGCAGTCAGCTCCTTTACAGAGAAATTTGCTGTTAAAAGGGCCTCTCTGGGTGGCCTGTCCAAAAGATGCTATAAGCATCTTGTTTCCTGCCCTGCAGTTTTTAGGATTATCTCTGCTCTTTGCTGCATTTCCTACACCTTCCTTGCAAACCAAGCCCTGGATTTGTACACATGCTTTCTCTTGCACTCTCTTCTACCAGGACAATAATTCCCACAAATAGTAGCTACAACTCTGAACAGATTTTCTGCCTGCCTTCCCTCTTTGTCTCTCTCCTGTGACAGCTCCTCTCTTTCCCTTCACTCTCTTAACTCAGGTTTATATTTCTCTGGGGTTTTTTTTTAATTGCTTTGAGGAGTGACACAGCTAATCTCACCCTGTAACTAGACAGGAAGCAGAAGTTGAGGGCCAGGTCTTAAGTGCTGGAGTACACCACATGGATACCATGGTCGTTTTCTACTGTGCTCCTGGTCCCCTGATAACAATCTTCTGGAGAACACTGTCTGGCCTGACTACCCAAATTTTTTTCAGCTTGGCAAAGGGAAGGGGAGGCAGGACTGATTTGTAGCTTTGAACATTTGGGGAGCATCTGCCTTTGTTTTCTGTGTCCAACAGGAGTGTGTCTTCTTGTTGCAATTCAGAGCATCAGGCTTCGATTAATTTTGTTTATTGCTTCATCCCAGGTTATTATGTTTTGGAAATAAATATGGAAATAAATATGTTGGCAGTAAAGCTTAGTTACTCCATAGTAGACCTGTAGTCTACCAGAAGTTTGCAAACCTTTAGCCATTCCACTTTCATGCAGTCTTTTTTTTTTTTCTTAGGGGTCTCAGGGTAACAAATCAATCAAGCCCAAGATACTGTGTTGACAGAAGGAACTAAGACAACACAATTTTTCTGTGCAGCTATCAGCTGTAATGTAAGCATTCTCAGCCCTAATAATAAGCCTAACCCCTCTTCTGTGAAGGTCAGGATCAAGAAGGCGAGTTCTGTTTCAGAGTGCTGTATCATCTGGCATGACTGCTAAGAAGGATGCTGTTCAAATCTGGCAGTGTTTTTGTGATAAGAGCATGTGTCCATAGGAGCCACAAGCCTATTTCATGGAGACTGTTGAACAGCCACCAGAGGATATTTAGTCTCTGCTGGCCTGGAATTATCCCAGGACTGAAAAGCTCCTCAGCCATTACCACTTTTCTCAGCTACATAGTTCTGGGGTCAGGTAGTTTCAAACTTCCAAGATCTATGTTTGTGAATTTAAAACTTTTTTTTTTCCTCTCCTGTGGGAATTGCCGGCATCTGTAAATCTCCTTGATCCCTGTTTTATATTGTTCCACTGGTATCATTTAGTGTGTTTGTTAACAATCTGATTTCCTTTTTTCTTTCTCTCTTCTCAGATCACTCACAATCAGTTTGTGGCCTTTCTCTGGAGGAACCTTTCCTTGTCTCTTGTGTAAGTACTTATAACATTCTATATTTTCATTGGTATAAGTTTTGCCTTTTCTTCAAGTTGCATCAAAGTCAGCCCAGGGCCTCTGTTGCTTCCCATGGTCACAGGACTCAATACTGAATTTTCATTTTAATGCAGTCTAAGATTTTAATGCAGTATCACCTTATGGGACTCAGATTTTAGTTCAGTGACATTGTGTGATTGATTCATCTGGAATTTATATGTGCAATTCTGGATGACAATATGGAAAATTTCTGGTTATATATGGGGATATACATGTTCTGATGGACGTTATGCTGTTGTGTTCTAGTTCAGAATGAAATATAAAGAATTCCATGCTGTGCAAGTGCAAAACAAGTACAGAAAACAGTCAGCTAGCATTGCAACCTATCCGTGCTGAAGTTTGACCCTGTGGTGAGGGACCCTTCCTTACCCAGTCCTGGCTGCTCTCTGAACTCCTCTTCTTATCTGAGTAGATTAAATGTTCTGTATTCTTATTGACATCCAACAGTATCAGGATTAAGGATCTGTCAGCAATTTCTTTGGAAGGTGTTATGCAGGGGTCTTTTCTCACCTAGTCACATTCACTTGAGTTTTTCTGCTGCTATGTAGGTTGGTGATTCACTGACCTTTTTAACTGAAGAAAATACTATGTTTATCCAGATAATTGTGTTTTCAGGAACCAGAACAGGAAGAATTAATTTTTTCATGGTTTAAGTTTTGGTTTTTTCCCTTTTTGGGGGGGAATAAGGGATGGAGCCTTTGGGAGTTTGTTTGTTTGTTATCATTTGAGTTTTAATTTTGTCAGATTCTGACATTTGATGGTTTTGCGCATTTGGAACAAAAACTCACATTTTTCTGGGATTCCTTCATACAAATTGGCAGTGAAATCTAGTGCTTTTGAAACAATGACTCTTCTTGTTGAAATATAAGGGGAAATATAGCACTACCACTTCATAATATTTACTATAGTTAAGTAAAGACAGACCAAAGTTTTCCAAATGTCCACAAGCATTTTAAGCCACTGTTTTGGGATGTCCAAGCTGAAGCTATTTCATGAATGCCAAAAATAATGAAGGCTTTTAAATTTAGGTTTAGAACTCCACGCCCAAATATACCTGGACTTTGTGTTACTTCACATCTCTACTTTGCAATTTAAATTCATGTCTCTTACCTGTTTAGAGATAAAAGTAGATGACTGTTAAAGTGCTGCCTGGAATTAAAAAAAAAAACAAAAACAAAACAGCACAGTAAGAGAAATAGCTCTTTCATATTTAGGAGAGGGATTAAACCTGCAAATCTGTAAATTTATATTCAAGTTCTGTTTTGATTGTTGGTATTTCTTTAAAGGGATGTGAAAGTGCAAATGGACATTCATAATTTTTCAAGGTGTTTGAAACCATGAAAGAGCTTTTTTTCCCCAATACTAGACCTAAAATATGTGGGTTTAACATTTAAAGTTGACCCACTACTTTTGCAGTGCAGAAGGAAACTGCACTCTGCCTTCTCCCCCACCCTGTGGGCAAAAAGTGGAAATTTGCTGCAGCGGCTGCAAAAGGTGGTATGACAATGCCAGCTCCCAAGGAGACGTATTTGAGTTGACCTATCATGCCTATGGTGTCCCCATATTTCTTTCCCTTCTCGTTTGCCTTTCATTATAAGGTGTCCCAAATCTGTAATTTACAACATGCTGCTCCAGTTTTGCTCTGATATATTTGCTACAAATAAGTAGGAGCCTATGCGTGTCCATAGCTGCCCGTGGCGGTGTCAGGCCTGCAAGATGAGGGGAGCAGAGGCATCCAGAGAATGCAACACGGCTTATGTCTAATGTGACATTTATTTGACTCAGAAAGGCAATTGATTAAAGGCCCATCGGATCTTTGCCATCATGTATTATGTATTTATCCAGCAGGGGCAGTTTATAACGGCCCCTGACAAATCCTATTACTTTTGTTGCAGTACTTCATAATATCAATAAAAAGCATTAATGATACTCAGGAACGGGAAGCGTTAACACAGCTTGTGTTAACGCTTCCCACAGCAGTGGCAAAACCATTTTTGTCTGTGGCAGACACCATGTGCCTTCAACATTTGCACAAAGGCACCAGTTTAATATGGTTCTACCTCTGCAGGACAAGGCAGTTAGGTGGAAGCAGCAAGCTGGCTTCATGATAGGTAGGCATGTGGAAACCTGAAGCTGAAATCCCTCTTCGAAGGTGCTTTGCTGTGTGACCGTGCATTTGTTTTTTCCCATCTGGCTGCCTTTGTTTCTTGACATGTAGAATCACGTGTTCTCTTTCTTCTTTAGATCTGGCTTATTCCACAGCCAAGAAGGGCTTCTTGGTGCTTCTCCATTCCTAAATTAGCAGGCTCCATAGGAGCCCAACTATATCTCAGGCACAGAGATATGTATTGGCCCTCCTCTTTATCTCTGGAATGCAGGTCCTTCAGGCCATTGATAATCTGGGTTCTTTTTGGTAGCAGAAAAAGTGTAAATGGGACATTCTTGCATTAGAAGCTGTTAATGGTACCTGACAAACATGTTTCTGATCTAGATAAGTGATTTGTTCTGCCCTCTGTCTCAGTGTCCAGCACTGGGCTCTCTTTTCATATCCCTTCCCAGAACTTGCTGCTGATTCAGTCTTCATCCTTCTCCCTGATGTTACATACACATCTGCCTAATTATATGGCATCGGGGTTTTGGAGGTGGAAGGATTTCATAGATCTCCCCACCCAGACTATATTCCCGCTTAAAAGGAATACAGTTAATCTCTGCTCCCCTTGAATGTCCCCAGGACTTCAAGAGACACAGGTATATTCCTTGTCAAAATCATTCTTTTCATGGAAGAAGTTTTCCAACCAGCCTGTAGCAGTATGGATAAGGTGCTTTACAGTAGAAGAGATAGCTACATAGGATAAAGAGTGACAGAAGGACACTTGTTTAACTTGCAGAGCACTACCTGTTCAGATGGAACCCATACAATGTTGAAAAGTTATCTGCTGTTAGCATTGGTAAATGCAAATCAGAAGTGCACCAAAGTCATCCAGATACAAGGAGGTTGCAGGACGTCTGTCCATCTTGTTTAAATAGATTTCTGATGTAACCAGGTTGTACTGAGCTCCAGCATCATTCCTACCAGACTGAGCACTGATTCTAATTCTTGTTACTTGACATCCTGGTTTAAAAAAAAAAAAAAAAAAGGAAAAAGTGCAATTTATTCCCCAGCTTCATGAAGACATATTTGGTCAAGTAATGATGACCTAAGGGAAGCTGAGAGGCATCTCACTGATCTCATCATAGTTATGAGAACCATCCATCATATGGTCAATGATTTGTAAGTCAAAAGACACCCAGCAGTATTCCAGCCTGCCAGTAGCCAGTTTCTGAGAATCCTTATTGACTTTACCAGACGTGATGATGCTCAAATAATCTCTGATATCTATGTATATGTCCCTGCTTTGGTACTTGTTCACCACCAAACTGTCATCTGTTACCACTCTGAACCATTATCGTCAAGTAGCAACTAATGAGTCCCCTCTGAATCCCTTTATCTGGTTCTGTGCTTAGTATTGCTTTGCAGATGAGGGAACAGCAACAAGGATTGCTACATCAGGAACAGGGAGGAGGCATCTTTTCTCAGGTTTCTTAAGAAGCTTTCCCTTACTTGAGAAGAGGATAATAACCTCCAGGTCAAGCTTATTCATGAATCAGAAATGAACATTTGCAAAATGCCAAAAAAGTCTACATGTAATAAGCCTTATGTTTACAACAGCTTTCAGGAGTTAGAGTTTTTCAAGAATGATCATAATTAATGTAATAAATAGGCATGTAAATTATCCAGAAGAATCAGTTGATCTGCTTATGAAAATAAGGAGGTTTAGGAAGGTAATGGTCACCTAAACAGCAATCTGAGACAGGAAAGGAATATTTTTTTTCCCCAGCTATTACGTGTCTGTTGAAGGGAAGGGAATGTTCCAAAAAAGAAAACAACATGGGCAGAGGCAAATGAGAGAAATGGTGAAACAGCCTCAAAATGGCAGCAGAGCTGAAATTCTACTCTGGTGTATTTATAGAAATGAAACAGTATAACCAAGAGCACACCTTGGGATGAGTGTCCTTGAGCAGTGCCACAATTTTAACCTTTATTCTTTATCAGAAGATGTAGACGTCAAATAAGCAATAGATGTGTAGGGAAAAAGACCCTCATTATTTTAAAAAATCTGTCAAAGTTCACAGTTTGTTTTAAAACATCTGTCATAAAAATAGACCAAATACCCTGAAAACTCAAGATGTAGCCAGATTTACAAAAAGGGGCAAATTTTGGTCCTAGTTTTTCATTCAAGAATTAGTTTAAGTGTTGGCATTCAAATTGTTTAGCAAGTAATAAAGGCTGCACATATCTGTGAAGTTGATGTGTGGATTACAGTAGAGGCATGTGTGCAACCTGCCTTCTAATTGCAATACCTACAATATATCCACTGGTGCTGGATGAGATTGAACTCAAGATTGGGCAGCATAACAGCTGAAAATGTCACACCTTTCTGTCATTATACATACTAGCAACGTCTTTGTTCTGAGTTATTTTTCATTTACTTCGTGTAATATAAGGCATTGAGTATTAGCTAGTTTTTAAATATTACGCAGTACAAAAGGGAAAAAAATTGAGTTTAACTAGACAGTTGTAGGAGCATAATATTTTTGGTTTAACTAGGAAAAAAAAAACGGAGACAGAGGAAATGGAGTTGTTCAATGCACTTTTACCCCACATTGGTATAATTTAATATATTTGGATGGAAAAGACCACCTTTCTGAAGCAGTAGCAGCATTCCTACAGCAGTTTGAACGTCAACCACCAAAATATTAAGACAGACCAGTTTGTTAGGTCAAAATCACTGTGCAAAATGGAAACAACTACAGAGTGCAGCAGTTTTTCAGAATATTCCCTTTGTAGTTATGGTAAATTATCTTCCAACTTTGACAACCACATTGCTCTTCTACAGAT